GTGAATAACAAAATCAGACACCTTGAATCTCTTATCTTAGGAGTTCGCATAGTCCTCTAAGTTCTGTCCTCCTGTTTATCTGTATTCTGTTGTCCGCTCTTAATTCTCACATAAGCCCTTAATTAGGGGTCAAAATTATATATCAAAACTCTTGCTACACCACCAAATATATTATTCTTCATTATTATTCTTAATAAGATTACATCTGTAATGTATGTTAACAAAAACCTATACATCAAATTGCAAACTAAAACTTTAAAACAGAAAAATGATGAATAATGGATGATTGATAAATACAAAATTTACTTATAATATTATGTACATTGAAGCATGCAAAATAAATGCTTAGAAATAGAAAGCACACTACAAAATAAAGATGTAATGTCATCACGTTCACCTCTTCCTCTTTATGTTGGATTGAGATCCTTTGAAATTTGGCGTTGCCATCTGAAACAGCAACAACAGCTAGTTTCAATACAAGGACAATTCAAAGGAAGGACTAGAGGACTCCACTAACTGTAAAAAATTTCAAAGAAGAATCCATTGCTGGAAGGGAACTATCATTTAACCCAACTGGAAAGTAGAAATCTCGCAAGCGGGCTAATGTTGGAGTTTGTATGAAGTTCCTTCTGTTATTGTCTTTTCCTATTTTCAGCTTTTGTAGTCATGTTTTGTGTTGCTTCAGATGCTGTCTTGCCCTTAATGAACATGCCAGTTGCCATCTCTTGCATTTCATTGACTTGAGATGAAAAAAGAAGGTGAATGCATTCTTTCTCTTTTTGGCCACTGAAACATTTCTAACCTTGTCAATCTCTTAAGCAACTTGGGGACAAGAGCTTCACAAGATCCAGGGTTTTTACGCTCATTATTCACAATCGATTTTGTAACTGCACTCATAACTAACCCTTTCATAAAATCAGCAAGGGCCTACAGTGATAACATGATATACTGAAACCATTAAGAGTTACAATATACAAAGAGTAATCCATGCCTAGGGGTTATTAGCAGATGAGGTCAAAAATAAAATGAATGGAAGCAGTGTTCATCTAAACCGAGTCTTGATCTGAACTAAGTGACAACATGAACACTTTTGCATAGTTCCACTTCACGTTAAGCACAGGCTATAACTTCAACTACAACAATGTTTGCAATTCACCTCTAAGGAGATGGCTCAACTGGTTAAAAACCTGAGATTTTAACCCAGAAATCTCAAGTTTGAACCTTAACTCGGATGGAAAGGGATTTGGAAAAAGTGGGAGGGCTATATCCCTCTTATATAGCCCATCATTACATACACTTAAAAAAAGCAACGTTTGCAATTCTTATTTCTGACCTCCCCTCACTTTTTGCTACTTTAGCATGTCACTCTTCTCTCAATACAAGCCTAGATCTACATTAGAGATGTTGAAACCCTTTCAGATAATCCTGCCTCCTATGTACTCCAATCATTACATTGATCAGTCTTTCTCTTACAATAAAAATACACTAGTCTGGATGAATAGGAATAGAGGCCAATGTTGAGGTCTATGCATTGAAAATACCATAGATTTGTCTATCAGTAGAAGCAGATTCATTCATTTGCCCAGAAACAAAAACAAATGATGCTTTTAGGGCAATAATATGGCAAAATCATCTCTATACTAAATAGCATGGTGAAACTAAAAATATAACACCGTTTTGTGCAGTGCAAACCTCTTTTAACGAAGGAATAAGCAACACTGACAATGGTGCAGATGATGGTGCTATCTGTTGGGTTTTTTAAAGCAAAGAAAGAAAAAAAGGAGAGAACCGAGAGGAAGAAGATGAAGAGCAGAGCACATAAAATGGAGAGGAGTATATCACTCCAACTCAAAGATATCATTGATATTTTACTACATTTATAGCAGAAACAATACAATAAAAAAGCAATTTTTTTTCTCACCTAACATTTTATCCAATACAAGAAAATATTAAGCATTTAAAACAAAAGATTACATTCAAAGATTTACTGCCATTTCTTGTAGCGTATGTGAAGCTCCATTGTGCTGTCACTTTGCTGCTACTCTGTAATCATGTTGCAGCTCTCACGTCTTTCCATTTGCTGCTACTTTGGCAGCTTGAACACCACAACTCCAACACTATCTTTGCTCTTTCATTATCACCGCTAGCTTGGCGCGATCTTGAAAATGCTCTTTGTGCATCAAAATATTCACAGGGACCTCTGGGATAGAATTGTTGTACTTGAGAGACTACAATAACCAAATCTTCTTATTTTCTAATAATCAACAAAAATTTCGCAATGTGGAAACAAATGAACAAATCTGTTATTGTTTTTACCGAGGAAAATCAGAGCTGTTAGCCATTTCGTCTCCTCATCGGCTTTCCCGAGCAGAAATACCTACCTTGCCTAATGCAGACCTTTCTCCTGCTTTTCGTTTTCTCAATCCTGCTTGCATTGCAGCCTTTGCCTGCATCATCAGCCAAAAGATAAGCTTTTTCAACACCAAGCATGTTAACAGTTCTGGATCAACAAGCCTACAGTGAAATCAAATCTCAAGGGAAACCTTAGATATTTTTCAGAAAGGAATTGGGGTGAACAAGCTGAACAACTTGAATAGGAATTTGAATATGGGAGAAATCCAGAAAATTTGAGCTGTCAGTCAAAGACACGTTGAGTAGTTAATTTCAACCATAATCCAAAACCAAACAAGAAAATCCAAAAATATTCATTCCGGTTTAAGAAAGCACTCCAAGAAAGTAAGAAGTAAAATACATATCAACAACCTCTGCAAGGTTTGTTACACTGTCTTCAAGTGAGGCATTTGAATTTCTCTCTAGAATACCTAGCCCGGATTTTGGAGTTCTAGGAGAATTAGAATGTTGGCCACGTAATACAACAGTTTCACTAATTGAGGCATCTTAATTAAGGCTGGCACATAAAACACAATTGACTTCTCTCAATATCTTCAGTAATATAGTTATAACGGATGCCTACCACAGAGCTTTGGAGTCAGTGACTCAGATCCTCTCGGAGATCGTTTAACAACAGTTCCAGTCTTCCTGATACACTCATGGACATATCATCTTGAAAATTGAACAGTTCAACCAAGTTTAGAAGATTTGAGTCTGAAAATTCCATACTTATTTAGACATTCAAAGTATGATTTGAAACTGGCACTGGGCTAATTCAAACTGTTACCGGTAGTATGTCCAGTTTCGTGAGCTTAATTTCTTGCCCATCAGATTATTGCATTTTAGTTCCAACAAGTTAATCACGTATTATTTATTAACTCCTCCTTTTAGTACATTCGGAGGAAAAAAAAAAAAAGATAAGATAAAATCTTCCTATATAGTAACCTAAAATATTTGTTTGTAAATTAATTTTAATCAAATAAATAATAAATATTGCACTTGAACTAGCATCCTGTCAGTTTGAGGTGCATTCTTCCTCTTTTTGAGTAAGTTTCGAATCTGTTCCTTGATGATTTGTTCAAAAAATAAAAATAAAAATAAATAAATAAATAAATAAATATTAATTATTTTATTAATTATTAATTATTTTTAATAATTTAAAATAAAATAAAAACTAAACAAACTACATGTCTTAACAAATGGTGATGTGACTATAACCACTGCTGTTTCTGTAGTTGGGCAAAGTTCGGTGAATTGACTGAAACCAACCAATACGAGTCGGCATTTTACCGAACTTTCGGGTTCGGGTTTTTTTGGACAGTACATTTGGGCGGGCTTCGGTATGTAGCCCAAATATAAAAGCCCGATAACAGCCTCTTAACGACCGGAAAACCGAAGCCCAAAGAATTTTTTAAGGGCCCATTTTTCCTTAAAGGAAGACTTTTGGGCGGGATCAACTCCCTCCAAAAGAAAAAAATAAAAAGTAAAAAAATAATTAAAAAAAATTCTATTATGAATGATACAATAAATATATGTTTCACCTTAAACACTTCACCTATTATCTGCTATTTTTAGTATTCATTTGACTTCATTTAAAGTTCCATTAAATCATATTTATGGAATCATCACATTCATAAACTGTTATATTTATAGAATTATTACATCCATAAAATTAGGAAAGATTCAATATTCTAATTAAATTTCATTCATAAATTAGTTAAGTTCATTCTTACGAATAGAGTCAAGTTCATCCATTGAATTTATATAATATTCATTATCACTTATCCTATATGGACAATGATACATAAGACGAATAAAAGGGACGAATTTTTGGGACCAATGACGTGGTAAGCCATGTTGGCAATATATTAATTTTAAAAAATTTAAATTAAGTTCTGTTTTGCTGTTTATCTTCTACCTCTTTTTGGTTTTTTTTTTTTTTCCAAATCTCCTATAGAAAGTAACTCCTCTATACTGCGAGCTCCTTGACCTAGGCCCTTGCCTGCTTTTCTTAACCTGCTGTTGTTGCTGTGACGGTTGTTGGATCGCCCGCACCTCGTCGGTTTCTATTTTCTCGAACGACAGATCGATCCACTTGTTTTTGGCGCTCTGCCCCTCGGAAACCATAAAATCGCCACCAACTCCACCCCCCGGGAAGAGCTCTCTTGACACCACGGCACCGTTGTTCTCACCACCACTCCCAATCTTCAGTATATCGAAACAGAAAGTGGAGGCGTCACCACTGGCGCGTGCCGAGGAAGACTCCCCATTTTTTGCCAAGCTCCTCCATTGTGTGGACCTCTCTAAACTCAAGGACCAGGCTTAAACCATCTTGGCAATCGAAACCCATAGCCGTCGTTTTAAAATTTTAAAAAAAGGAAAAGAAAAGAAAAACTAAACCCTAACCATTTGGTAAAATTGAACCCTATTTAGGAGAAACCCTAAATCTATACTTATTCTTTGCAAGGGGATGAGAAAAATAGAGACAAATGATAAAGATTTGAAAGAGAAAGCTTGGATTTGGATGAAGCGGTAACACAAAAAAAATTGCAGAAAAAATAGAGAGAATGATCAGTGAAGGAGATAAATACGTGTATCTTTTTTAATATTTATTAAAAAATATGCTGAGGTGGCATGCCACCTCATTTTCGTCCTCCGAAATCACCCCTTATTTTCGTCTTTCTCATCATTATTCTTTCTCTTTTCATAGTATTACCTTATCTTCTGTATATATTTATTTTTCTCCAACTTAATGATAACTTATTTAACAATAAATTCACTTCCCTCCATAAATAAAAAAATTATTTTTATTTCCCTCCAAATCAATATTTTTTCTAAGTTTTACTTATCTTGCTTATTTTCTTAAAAATCATTTAATCTAACTTAATCATAATAACTATAATTAAAAGGCTTAACTTTTTCTTTTTTTTTCCTGAGCGGGATTAAAAGGCTTAACCTAACCCAAATGAATTCATTTTGCATCTCATTGTCCGATTTCTTTCTATAGCTAGCCACCATGACCACAGCAATACCCCAGCCCCAGCCTTAACCGATGGCGGAACTACTAAGGGGAAGGGTTAGGCACAGGCCCTACCCTTCTCCATAAAAACAATTAGAAAAGAAAAGGCCAATGACAGAAGGCCTACGCTGGCAATTGGCATAAATAGTTAATTAGGCTTCTATTTAATAATTAAAGATACAAACTTTAGTTGCTCATAATTAAGGATGTCAATTCTTGCCCCTTCATGGCCATTAGTGGATTTCAAAATTCGATTATGTATAAATTATTCACTTTAGAAAACTTCATTAATTACACTATATTTAGTGTAACTAATAATTTTAGAATGTTCAAAAATTAAATTTCTAAAATACATTTTCTTTCTCTCTTTCTCTTACTTTTTCGTTTTCCTCCTATCATAGCAATTGATAGCAGGCTAAGAAAAAATTGCCAACAAATGCCAAGGAATTAAAATAGTGTGCAGATATAACAACCACTAAGAAATCAAATTACATTAACACAGGTAGTCTTAATAAGATGGATATAATTTTAGACTAAAAAAAAAATTATATACTATTTGAGAAATAATCCTCTCTATGCAAATTCTTAAGCATAAATTAAAAATAACAAATCTATATTTCAAAAAATTGTACGTTAAAAATAGTTCATAAATCTCTTTAAAATCTTTCAAAATATTTCCCTGTCTTTTTTTTTTTTTTTATCAGTCAATAAAGTAGTGTTATATATGATAATAAACGGAGTACAAGGGGCAAAATATTTCCCTGTCTAATATGTACTTATTAGAGAATCCATAAATTTCTTCAACATAACGTTGGAGAACTCATCAACTCTTTGGTGAATCACTAATAATAATAAAAAGATCACAAGCAAGACAATTAGACAAGTAAAATGCATAATACCAAGGGATGGCTTAATGGTTAAGAGTTAAAGATTCTAAATTAGAGATTTTTAATTCAAATCTTGAGTCAAGTGGTGAGGAGATGGTTATCCCCTTTTGTATAATCTATCATTATCAGATGTACTAAAAAAAAGGTAAGTAAAATGCATGGAGTCCAATAGAGAAGGGAGAAAATATATATAGGAAATAATTACCATTATTTATTAATTATTTTTATTTATATTTTATTGATATTTTTTTCCAAATGAGCAAAATGAGGCTATTAACAATAAATTAACAATTTTCATCGAATTATTATCAGGCCCTAGCCCATATAGAATCCTGCTTCCGCCAATGGCCTCAACCCATCATTTCACACTGCTTTTCCTCGCCTCTCTCTCCATCGTGCTCCTCTTCCTCCTCGTTGTTGCAAGGCTAACGGTGAGAAACACATTTGTCCACTCACCTTGCAACCATTAAACTTCTCTCTTTTCTAACATATGTGTGCCATTGTGCCATTAAGACAATGAAAAGGAAGCAGTAGCATTAACAGGAGCAGTAGGGCTGGGGGAACGAGACAGATATTGAATTAACG